ATCATATGCACGGCAACAAATTTCGTATCATATGCACGCGAAAACTGCGTATTATAAGCACGCCAAACACATGCGTATCATATGCACGCCAAAGTCCAAAAATGCGTATCAATACCACGAGTTTTCGTTTTTATTTGGCGTACTATTTATACACATTTTCATGAGATCGGGCTCAAAAATCAGTAAAGATTTCACAGTGGAAAGATTTCACATGTGCATCTATAGCATAATGAAACAATTGGCTCTTTTACTTGAAAGGCTTGACTTCCATTCCTACAGCCGCTATAATGAGCGTTGTGATTTCTCCCATTCATATTTCTGCAAGTGGTCCGTCTCCTCCTACAGGAAACTGTCTCTCAGCACTGGAATGGATGTTGTGGCATTGCATACCATTGCTAAGAAAATAACCATGTTGCATTTTAATTCTAGCGATATTGCTCTGAATTTGACAATGCAGTGGAATACGTGCAGGAAACTTTACAGAGAAACTCAGGAAAAGATGGGAAGATTGCATTGTGCAATTAGAGGGTCACCATCAAAATGAACAATTTGTTCTTGCATGTGACTTGGAGAACTAATCTCCTTGTGTTGGGAACGCAGAGGTGCGTAATCACACATCCAGCTGAGCGTGCTGGAGAATCTGTCCGTAATCCTTGAGCAAACGATGTCCTCCTCCTGGAATTTATGTGATGTGCTCTTTTTTGAGAGGACGGCTTAGGGCAGCTTATGGTGTCATGACCATGTCCCGAGTTCTTCACTGAGCTAACGACTGTCTGCTCCGAAAAAATCTGCACTGCATGACCTGCAGTTAGGCATTTTTGGGGGGTATGGAAAATTAAGAAAACAGTATGTTCCGAGATATCTTGTGTCAAGGACACTTGGCAAGTTAAACGTTACACACGGCGAATCTGAGCCTTCTTAATACACACTCACTCCTTTATGTCAGCTTGTACAGTCATGTTTAAGGCAAGATGATACAGGCATTGGTTTTTCATGCACATATCAATTTTGAGATTTTGGACTGTTTTGCTTCCATAGCTTGCCTTCTTTCAGACTAGTGGAAAGAAAACATCCAGAATTCACATTTAAGTTTTTATTTTATTACACTTTATCTATTTGTGTCTCTAGTTTTCAATTACAATTTGTAGAGGCCGTTCTCTCAATAATTTTTTTTTCTTAGAAATCTCCACTTCAGCAGCACTTACCTACACCAAACTTTACAGCTTTATTCCTATCTATTCTGAAGGTTTTTACAGAGGGGTTTGTTCATATATCATTCACTTGATTTATATAGCATTTTATTCCTAAGAACATAGTGAAAAGTGCATCTGTTGACAGTATTTTCAGATTTATGGGGTTGACAATAAGATATATCTGTAAAAACCTTTTACTCTAACAAAACGGAACCAGAATTTTAAACCTGAATTTATCCAGTGTTCAGATTTCTGTTCTGGAAATGTATGCAAATTAGTGTGTGTTTAATTAAATAATGCCTCATTGGCATATTTAAACACTGCATTTCAGGAAACAGTTGTCTTAATATACTGTGATAAATCAACTGGGTATTTAGGTGATATCCATTAGTTACAGTTTTTACCTTAATCACCTGTAGTGTCTTACTGCAAGTGGAAATGGTTTATTGTTTGCTTAATATCAGGTCATTTCGGGTTTCAAAAATATGGTGGTTCACTGATTGACTTAAATTGGCGGAAGTTCATATCAGCTTCTGACCTGGGCCTTGTCGTAGCCTCAGGAACAGTTCACCCACACTGTAAAAAAAAATTCAGTAAAATATACGGTAAAAAACCGGCAGCTGTGGTTGCTGGAATTTTACCGTAAAAAAAATACGGTAGCAACGTTTTAGGTTTTACGGTTTTAACTTAAATTTACAGTTATTAACTGATATAATGTTAATATACCAACCTATTGAAATACTGAAATCTGTTTTGTACCTTTGTAATACACTGATAACCACCAAAAGCAGGTTCTTTGGTTTTGAGACTTTAGTCTTTGCAACTTCAGGGATCTTATCTATGCACAATCAGCTTGTAACACTCCAAAGAGAAAAGAAAACTTGAAATCGCATCATATGACCCCTTTAAATTTACAGTTAAATACCGTAATTTCATTAACTGATGTAATGTTAATATACCAACCTATTGAAGTACTGAAATCTGTTTTGTACACTGATAACCACCAA